TGCTCTTCTTCCTCCTGTCCACGCTTATTGATCGCTTGAACAGTTGTTCGTGATTGAACGGTTTCTCCGATATCGATTCATTGAAATTCGATAGCTTTCACGAGATCGATTAACAATTGCCGCCCAAGATTCTCCTCTCATCAGATTTTTTTGAACATCATCATAGAACATGTTCAACCTAGAATTCAATGTATGGTACTATTTGTATAAGATAGCACCACTTGTTTGCGATAAATTGCGATTAACTTGTATAATTACCGACCATTGATCTGTTGGTGATCTACTTAAATGCATTTATTTAGCGGACAGCCGTGCCTACTTTGAGGACGAGGAGTGCGGCTCCTTGGACGGTATGAACCAAGATTTCGATTATTCCTCTCTTTCCATCAATATTCAACCAGGTAATTACTATTACTTTCATTTCTCATTAATGATCTAAGACTTTCATAAAAACGAATTATATGAATTCTTTCATTTCTGATTTATTTTCGGTGCGTACAACGTACTTACCTATCATTCCGTAGTAGTTCTAACTAACGCGCGTATGATTGTCAGAAAAATTTTTGAAATTTTTTTCCTGCCGAAATTCCGGCGAAGTATTCGATTTCGTTATCCGATGACTGAGCAGATTCGGTCACCTTAGATGCAGCGATTGTAGCCTTGGGGTTGACAAAAAATGACTGAAAAAAAATTGAAAAATAGAAAAAATGAACAAATAAAATTATTCGTCTGAGGAGTAAGCAGAACGGGCTATGTGTGTTTTGGGGTGGTTTTCAAATATTTATTTTTCTTTGTTTCTAATTGTACTTACTCATTACCGAAAAGTCGGGTCATATTTGAAATTCAATCGATTAGGTCGTTCATGTATTGTCTAAAAAGGTCGTTGTGTAATATGATTGAGTGAAGGTTTCGGGGATAGTGACCGTTAAAGAAGTATGACGTTACATTTCGTCCTTATTACCCACCATTGTCGCTGACACATCGTATTACTGCAAAGATTTATCTTTCTTTGCAGTTTTTGAATTACTACAACAGCTGCTATCCGACTACCGTAATATCATTAGCAACGCTATTTTTAAGGGGGGGGGGGGGGAGAGTTGGAGAGAGAGGGCTAGTCTCTAGCGGTGGCAGACCAGGGAAAGGTCCTGAATATAAAATTTGAAGATTGCGAAGTGTTAGTAATGCTGTAGCGTTGCCATGACTGGGGACAAATTCCGGATTGGCACCCGAGCAGGCCAACTGTAGAGTGATCAGTTAAGTAAAGCTATACTAAGGCTCAGAGTAACTTTACCAGACATTACAGTTCATTTTTCCGGGGTACGTCCTTCCGCTGGTAAACATTTTTGAGAGGTATGTTCCCTTGGTTCCCTCCTCTGGGATACGTCCCCCCGCCCTTCCCCATCCTAGCTATCATTTTTTTTGGATTTACCCAGCTTGCTACCACTTTTCCAGAAATTCCCGGTAATTTCTGGTTTTCCCCGAAATCATATTATCGAGGAGTTGGGAGGGGAGGGGCTGTATATAGCTCGTATGAAACGAAAAAAAAACGCTGAAAATCAACAACCGGGAAAAACTTTTTCCCAACGCCGCAAATTGCTTTCAAAGGCAGACACGACCTCCTCTCTGCAACGGGCAAATGCGACCTCCCCCCTCCCCCCTCTTCACTACCCGCCGGGGTTCCCCAACGAACAGCGTGGTCTGGATATATCGTTTGCAGGTTTATGGGAACCTGACGTGCACGGAGAATTGCTCGACTTGTTCGATTAGCTGCTGTAGGCTGTCTGGGAGGAAAAAAACAGTGATAGAACATCAGATAAACACAGCAAGTTACTGCATAGGCCAACCGTATTCAGGAAATACTTCACTTTCGAAGTATTCAGGAAGTAGAAGGGGTGGTGAATTCCAAGAAGATTCCCAAAGCTAGCTAGTTAAGCATTCACTAATTAGGTACCTCTCATGTAGGCTGGGTACTGTAGTGAGCCCACCTTCCTTTTTGTATGGGTGTTTGAGCATTCACTTTTTAGGTACAGTCCTCATCATTGCGGACCGGTGGGGCGTGTCAGCCCAGAAGGAGTGCGCACACTGTTGAAGCCGTTCTCAGCCTTGTTTGTTGCAACGCTATGCGACAAAAAGTGGTAGAAAACGAGTAATACGAAGGATATTCTACAGCAATGCACTTGTTCGCTTCAAAAACTGGTGCAGAACGACTTTGCCAAACCGCACCAAATGCAGCCGCACTGCCACGCCCCACCGGTCCGCAATGATGAGGACTGTACCTCTCATGTAGGCTGGGTACTGTAGTGAACCCCACCTTCTTATATGGGTGTATGTAGTATGGGTTCATGTGGGAGGAGTCATGTTGAAGGTGATCAATAACCCTTCGAAACGAAGTAGAAGAGTGTGACTATGATCGGACGAGTTCACAGGGCGACAAACTGTAACTTTGTTAGTCCACACAGTTACACCATCAAGAAGAACTAATTCAGATGGACTTGGCACTGGACGACAAGACGTTTCGAAATTGTGTTCCGTAGTTACACAAATCACAGCACTTTGAGGGCTATTGCACGTCATTCACTGAATTTTTTCGTCTACGTTCTTCACATTGCTGCACGTTTCTTGTAGTTCGCCTACATGAACTCGTAGTCAAGGAACACCGTAACCTTATGGAAATTTCTGTGAAATGTGACCCTCTGCCAGAAAAAAAAATTTTCGCCTCGTACAATTTTCTTTCCCGTCTACCTACTATCACTACCGAGCTTTCTCAAAAATTTGCCATCATCAGTAAAAAATTTTCGTTGGCGGAACGTCCCTTCTCTCCAGTTGTCAAATACCCCTCCCCCTCCTCGGTATTTACCCAACAGATAATGAGCACTGTGCAAGCTGCCCAAATTTCCAAGTTTTCACCTATTCAAATTTTCTGTGGTTGCTGTTTTTCCAGGTTGCCTGCCTCAGGTCATCGCGGCTGAAGACGCCATGTGACACCGGAGAAATCTGCAATCCGTAGTGATTTCCGTTCCAGGCACGCGATCCCCTTCAACCACCGGTTGGGCTAATGCCGACCAGAGCTGCCTGCGGGAGAGGAATCCCCGAGTTTAATAGTGAAGTGAGCGGGGTACTATATGAACTTGTAAAAGTTCTTTTTTGTTGGTGGAACTCAAAGCGTCGAAGGAGGTGAACTAGAGCAAACTTTATGGTCCATAATGTTTTTTGGTCTTTTTGGTAATGTCCTTCAAAGGGCCACGTGCCCATTATCAATTTTACGACGATAGCCGAATCGATAAAAGTGCACATTTGGTGACGGGGAGAAATGGGGAGCGATATTGAACGGGCTATGCTATAAGCACAGGGAAATGTTCCGGTTTTTTTATAGTAATTATCACCGAATCAGACAATTCTTTCGAAGATGCTTCCAAATTTAGGCGAGATTCCACGAATACCGTTTTTCATCGCGTGCGGCTTATATCATCTAAGTTGTTCTGCATCAAAGGCATAAGTAAGGATAAGCTGGCACTCGTTGGAATAGTGGCAGGGTTACCATATAGTGGAATAATGACGAGAAGCAGTTTTAAATGGCCGGAAACCTGCAAAAATCTTTTGCCCTGCGCTTCATTGGACGAGCATTTTGGACGAAAATCCTTTTGGCATCGTGCTAACGCCGGCTTTCGTAGAAACGGGTGCACATATGTGATCATTCCATGCAACAGCGCCTCATATCAACTGCACTTCATAAATGAAGCGATAAGAGTCTAGCGTCGATATGACTGTACGGACATTGTGGGCGGGTGGTTGCAGTGGGCGTCTGGTTCGGCATGTTGCCCCTTATTCGCAATGTCGTACCTTTTCTGGAAAGGGCGCCACCAGGGCCTGTTAAGGAGCACAATATGTGTTTGTGCCAGGCGGACCCTGTAGTAACTGTTGATTTACCGCGCTTCTTCCCTTTAAATTCAGATTTCAGTTCATTGACGATTTCTGACTCAATGACTACTTTCTCCTATCTCGCTTCTTGGAGTATAGCTATCGCACTAATGCCTCCACTGAACTAAAAACATGGTGTTTATCACAGCTAAACAGAAGAGCAGGTCCTTGAGAACACAAGGAGAAAGCAAAGAACTTTTTCAACCCGGCAATTATTTCAGGCGCTGATGTGGCTGTCGATCTCCTTCCAGTACCACCTGATGGTGGATATGGATGGGTAATTGTAATTGCCGCATTTTTCTCGAATCTCATTGTTGACGGTGTTTGCACATCTTTTACGGAATTCAAAGGTGCCTATTCGCAACATTTTAATGTAAGTTTTCACAGTTCAGTTTGTCCAAGTTTCCATAGGAAGGTAGTAGACGCTTTGAGTTCCCGATGAGCTTCTTAGGAACCATCTCATAAGCTCGAGATCACAGGGATTCTCTTGAGCCAGGTGCTTTGAGTTTGTGTGATTGGTTTATTGTCTACAATGACCAATCGTGAATGACCCTGCAAGATATCACGTGTTCAGACACGATGCTAAAGTTGATATCGTCGAAGACAGCCGGGGCGGTGTTATGAGACGTTTTCACCATTGTTTGTTTTCTTCCTAAACCCATCTTCTAATGGCTAATCTAACCGATCACTCTTGCTGGAAAGGGGAGGCAGAGGAGTGCTCATTCTGGCCCTCCTAACGGAATGAGCACGCCTGTCCTGACTGGCTGCGACGATATTAACTAACGCACAGTATTTCTGATTGAGTGCAACTTACCCTATTCAGGCTTCGGACGCCTCTACCGCCCTCATTGGCTCACTGTTGATTGGTGTATATTTGTTAGTTGGTGAGCATTATTAATTTTAACATCACAAAATGATCTTTACATCTGCAATTGCTCTTTTACAAATTGACATTTTGTTAGGACCTATTGTGGGCGGTTTGGTAAACAAGTATGGCTCACGGAAGGTAGTCGTCGGCGGTGCTTTAATCTCAGGAATCGCCTTTCTGATCTCCGTAGCTGCACCTAAACATCTACGCTTTCATGCTAATCTATGGCGTTGTTGGTGGTGTTGGATTCGGAATGATTTATCTCCCAGCCATCGTTGCTGTCGGGTACTATTTTGAAAGTAAACGGTGAGTAAGGTTGAGAAAGTTTTTGTTGAACCATCATCACAGACACATTCCGCGGTAACCTGAAGAATGAGATCATTGTCTGTGTACAAAGCGCACACTGCCACGGCCACCACAGAGTGCACCATTTTTACGGGTCGAAGATGCTTGGTATGGTCGCCAGAGGCCTGTGATCTCTGTGCGTCCGCGCGCCCACCGCATGAGTGGCCGCCCATCGCTTGTTTTGTGGCTTCTCACTCGCACTTTCTTCGATGTTGCTGCTAAGTGCTCTGTCGCCAACTGGCTGTCTGATCTCTTGCTCGCGCGTCCTCCATCTCCGGCTTCTTCGCAAGCTGGTACGGGTGCAGAACCAGAGGAAACTTTGTTCAGAGTGTATTTGTCAGTTTCTTCTGCCTTTAACTCTCTGAAAAGTCAAATAGCCACTGGAACTTTTCATATCTCAACCCAACTGCCAACGACTTACAATCTCGGAATGTGCCTTTAATCTCCAAAACGCGACAATCATATGGCCAGATTGCGCCATATACTGGCTCGCTATCTGAGACTTCTCACTATATATTGGGTCTACAAAGTGCAGCGCTACTGCGAAGTTTATCTATTCTAATTATATTACTTTCCAGAGCTATCGCTACTGGTATTGCTGTTGCTGGCTCTGGAGTAGGTACTATGATCATGCCATTCGTTTGCCAATACTTCATTACAAGTAAGTACCAAAAATAAAAGTGGATTGAGTTTCGTCCGTTATGAGTGGAAAACATGGGGAGACAAGAGGGCCATATACTATTATTTCAAAAAGCTATAAGATAAAGTGATGTTGTTCAGCCATTGGTTGGAAGTATACCGTATGGATACTGGCAGGACTAGTTTTTCTCTGTATTTTCTTTGGTTTGCTATATCGACCACTAGCACCACCGAAGATCGATCAGAAGGATCAAGAGCTCGTACCACTCAGAGCTGCACTAAGAAAAATGTCAGAAGCAGACGATTTCGACGTGAGTATATTGTAAAAGTATAGAGTTGTAGTACGTCCCATGAAAAGTGATTGACGAGCTCAACTGGAAACCAACCTCTTAGAGTAAACTAGAACTGTGAAAATGAGTCCATTTCAGTACATATTTCTGCCCAATTACATTGGAGGTAACTGGGCAGAAATATATACTGAAAAGGACTCATTTCGACGTGTACTTGTCCAGTCACTGCTGGGACGAACTGTAACTCTGGATTCTGTGAGACGCATTCTGCAAAAATGGCTACTACGTACTACTTCGAAGTGAAGACGCGTCGTGCTTCGAGCGGAGGTTGTGATTGGTGCTCGATGGCAGTCCACCAATCATGGGCTCCCACTACGAGCGCCTTGTGCCAGTAGCTATTCGTGCCAAATGCTCTCAATATTCTGCTAAGCATACCTGAAAGACTTATAGAATCGTGCCAATTCTCAGATGTCCAACGAAAATGACAGTCCAACGAAGCGATACTCCAGAGTAGAAGCAGGTACGTTTTCTGTGCCACTTCTCAGTTTGAACAAGTGGGCACGATCGGCGTGGGCAGGCGGTTGCCGCCAACCCCATTGGTGGGAGGGATGAGTGGGGTGTGGTCAAACGCCCTCTCGCACCTCTGCCACCATTCACGTTGATAACAACCGCCCGGCCCCAGCAATCGTGTTGCCTCCGAGGATTCTATTTTTTTCACAGCAGTGGCTGAAATGTTCACGAAGGGGCTCCCAGGAAAATTTTGCTCTTATTTAGTCGGGTTTTCTTTTCTATTTGAAGGCATGGTGTCCTAATAGCGATTGTCTTTTCTGAAAGTGACAGCTGTTATAGCGAATGTGACGGGTTTACTAGAGTTGGGCAACAAAAGCCTGATCTCGGGAGAAATAGGGCCAATGTTGAATAGCCGATACGAACTGTTGGCACCAAATAGGGTGACAGAGCTTCCAATTAGAAACAAAGAAAAACAATTATTGGGGAAAGGAATACACTCCAAAGCACAGATGATCTATTTCGCCCGCACGGATGATCCATTTCGCCCGTTATCGCAGACGAATCATCCCTGAACCACTACCCTTGTGACTCCTTGGTGAGGGGGGTTGAAGGCGGGGAGGGGGTGAGCGGGGATGAAGGACGATCTTTCCTCATATCACCTAGCATTTTTCTATATTTTGCCAACTTTTTACCATTTTCCCAGTTCTCTAGGAGTTCCTCAGTTTCCCTACAAAAGCTAGTCTCCAATGGAGGGACCCCTTTCGAAGCTGCGAGCATATACGGTGATATGGGCTGTCAGCGATCTGGATAGCGAGCGTGAAACAAGGAAAGTCAGCTAAAGTCTCTTAAGACGAAGACAGCCCCCCCCCCTTACCCCCTTACCTCCAGCGAGTAAGTACGACCCCTGCTGCGTACGACGTGCCCTGCTCTGAATGCTGGAACCAACTCAAGAAAGAACCGAATATTGATGGGCACAACTTGCAAAGGTGTCAATCTGTTCAAGTTATAACACTCTCCCTTCAAAGCTGTGCTTCCTTCAGGTGCTAGTAGTGAGCGGTAAAGTGTAATGGACTGTATCAAAATGTTTAGACTCTAGAAGGAGCACCGATGTTTCTAGAGACCATTCAGTGAGAAGGCCGAGAGCTGAGCTACGCAAGGGCTAAATGGAGACTGTTATTATTCAAACATAACTTTTTACAGAAAACAACCATGATGATCCAGTAATGGCACGTCTCCGAAGTGCGTTGTCTGAATGCGAAAATGATGCTGACACTTCACCATCAACGCCAGTTCGACCTCCACTTTCACCTGTATTGGAAAATGCTATCAGTAAGAGTCGAGCTGGCAGTACACATCAAACCCACATCGCCAGTAATGTACGAGGCAGAAAACTAACACTGACGAGGTATTGTCAACAGCTCCATTTCAGTCAGTAACTTATAAACGCCTTTACACTCTGCATCCCAAATATGAAAAAGGCGTGGCTGCGTTCTTCATTTGAATGTAGAGGCAGGTGCGCTTTTTGAAGGATGTTGTCGTGTCAAGACCATTATGGTTATGCCTTTGTCTAGCTCAATAAGATAGCTGGCTCATTTGGGAGTACTTCACGATACACGCCTCCTACATCATGTTTGACTGAGGTTCGCAGCCACGCCTCCTCACCTCCGGGCATAGAGTGTTTCTTTCATTGTGCTCGGTTAGCTAGTTAGCGATTAACGTACGGGGTGGTGTATCAAATCGATCAAACAAGGGCATGCGCCCCGCTGCAGCGCGCCCTTGAACTTCGACCTGTGAGGCAACGTTCATAATTCACGTTTTGGTGCAAAATGAGAAGACGCTCTATCGATCTAGGAGATCACAAAATTCGTAAATCCACGAAAGCAATGGAAGCAAATTTACTGAATTGACTCCGTCCAGCTGGAGTGTTTGAGCACAAGGGAATCCACGAGCTCCTGCTCTTCACTGGGCGGAGTTGAACAATCAATACGTTCATATGTAATCCTTTTGTAGAATAATCGGCACTATTCAACTATTACTACCCCCATCTTTCCAGAAACAGCCCTGATCTTGATCGGCTTTTTCCTATGGGGGCAGATTTGGCTGAAAGTTGGGTTCCATGGGTAGTTTGACCTAAACACCAGTATCACATCCGCTCGGGCTGAAACCGCCTGCATCCGCGCCACAGGCGCCGGCGCCAAAATACCCTAAGTTATCAAACCAGCTGAAAACTTGTATACGGAAATTATTTGACATTTTGATTACAAACATCATATTAATTTTTGGCGCTGGCGCTTATGGAAGACGCTGCGATCATCTGCGCTTTGCTAAAGTTGAGCCTGACTCGAAAGACACTGTTTCTCCCAGGCTCTGTTTTAAAAGCGCTAAATGGCGCTGGCTTTGAAAAATAAATGTCATATTTGTGAGCAGGGCATCAGAAAAACCTATTATGTAATTCTTTATCGATTTTGATAAAAAAGGGTGTGGCGACACACCAGCGCCTCATGGCGCCCAATGGCGTCAGGGCTGAAAACTACTTTGGTATTCGTGATCAGGACTTAAAGTAACCCTACTATGCATTACACCGAAATTTGGTGGGAAAGGTGGCGCAAACTGGCGCGAGTCGGCACCAATTTTGCGCCAGCGCCGGAAGCGAGTGCTATTAGGTTGTCGCATAAGTTGTTATACACGACTTTTTTGTAAATATCTCAAAAACGAACCAGCCCGGAGATTAGAGGTATGCACCGTCACCATTCACTACTCGACGCCAGCGCTCAGGCAGCTTGTCGATTCCATCCTCCCAGAATGACGGAGGCTGGGACTTAAGAAGTCGTCGAGCGCCTTTCTGACCTGATCCTTTGTTTCGAACATTTTTCCGTCCAAATAGCGCTGCAGGTGGCTGAACAGCCAGTAGTACAGAAGGGAGCGCGGTCAGGGGCTGTATGGATGGCTGATGGGTGGGCGACCATCAGCCATCCATACTTCTTCCAGCTCGGCCTGGGTCGCCTTTGCGTCCTGGCGTTGTCTATGAGTGCGAAGTAGATTTCGCATTCCTTCCACGCAGTCGGTCGATGTGATTCTTATCATTTCCGCAGACTGGGGCTCACGTAATGCTGAAGCGTCAATCGTCATATTCCTTCTCCAGCAAGCTCCCAGTACTCCATGCCTCTTCCTTGGGGGGGGGGGGGACCACAACAGGACAGGAGAACCTTTCTGGGGTGAGGGTCGACCTTTGGGGTTGGCTTCTGGCCTGTTCTCCTTTGTCGACCCATTGGCCGCTTCCTCACAAGGGTTATCGTAGAGACCCACTTTTCATGCTTGATCATCGAGTTGAGAGTGACGAGCCTCTCTTCAGAAAGTGACGCAGAGAGTGCAGGTGGTCACTCCGCTCGAGAGGTCATAATGGACATTCATTGGGACCCATCGACCAAGCCTTTGCACCATTGCGAGCTTTTCTAGTTCCTACGCGCAACCGTCGAATGATCATAGCTTAAGCGTGGTCGCCATTTGCTCTGGTGGGAGGTACGGGTCCTCCAGCGATGAAACAAAAAGTCTACCTTTCTCTGAATTTGGGCGAACCAATTCTTGCATGTCATGTAAGAGATACGTCCTCACCGTATGTATCCACCAGCTTGGTATGGGCTTCCTTTGCATTCCAGCCCAAATCGTGGAGCAAAACCAAACAGTAACGCAGGTACGTTTTGTCACAGTGCAAATCGTGCGACATTGTGTACTGCAAATGCAAGCTCGGTGAGTGATAGCTAGTGTAATGAAAGAGTATAATGTACACGTCACGCACACTGATGACGTAATACCAACATCCATGCCAACGAAATAGGAGAGGATCAAACACGTGTATAAGAACTTATGCTACAACCTAATATATTCGTGATCAGGACACCGAATTGCGGGCGAGGTTTCAGCAAAAAAATTTCCCTGACTTTTTGGGGTAGTAATAGTTGAATAGTGAATAATCTTTAGCCTGAAGGCGTGGTGTTAGTGCAATCTAACTTAATCCTACAGTATCATTTGCTATGAGTAACTTCACGAAATTTGAGCTTAACGAGCGACATGACGTCCAGCAACGACCTGAAAGCATCTCGTGCCACTTTAAGTGGTCCTCAATTGAGTCGTATCTCAGCAAGAAGTTTCGCCCAATCGTTGAGCCGGCTCTCAAATAAAGGAGAAGCATCGACCCTCAGCATTGCCATGAGTGTAAGTGCTTATTTATTCTATGAATAACTGCCATTATTTCCAAGGGATCCAAAAGTTTTTCTAGTCTGCCATTATTTCCAAGGGATCCAAAAGTTTTTCTAGTAAGTCCACCAGATAATAAGAAAATGTATTGTTGCTTATGTGGAGTAGACCGGACAGTTAGCCCAAGGATTTGATGGCGCAGCGGGAAAATAACTATGGGTCGCGCTAACTCTTTATATATTTGGCGGGCCAGCCCGTTCTCCGGCAATGTTGAAGCGAGTAAGCTACACAAGCCGACGGAAACGACTAATACGAGCGCTATGATAAGCCTTGTCGCTTGCAGAAAAAAAGGGGAAAATTAAAAGCGGACTGGCTGCGCTCTTTAAGCCATTCTCCATAACAATCGCCATCATCCGGACACGACTGCAGTACCGTTGGTGACGCTAATTGTAAGTCCAAGCTCGCCATAGCATATGTACTTTTGGTGCAACACTGAAGACAAACGAAATCCCGAAGAAATTTTCCCGTTTGGAATGCACCCTTGATAATGGGAATATTACTAATAACCAATTCGAAATATTTTAGGGTGTTGATCCACAAGAATTTTCACGGCCTATGAATAGGCAGGATATTTTCTACGCTGGTTCGATCAAGAATCTGAAAGAGTTCAAACAAGAAGGAAATAATCTGCAGTCATATCGTGGCTCAGTTATGTCAATCCCGAGATCAGTCGTCGGTCAGGCAGTGTCCAGTCTCAGCCAAGCTGGTCGGTTTCTCTCCATTTATTGAACTATTTTTTTCCGAACAGTTTGTTCTTTTTGAGGAACTGCTGTTTTTCTTTCACAGTTTGAAGGCACATTATGCAATAACTGTATGGGCAGAGGAATGGGCGGAGACTTATGACCATTGTGAATTTCTCATTGACTCACCCGTACAATACCGCCCCTAATTTTGTACTGCGCAAAATGACGCGTGGTAAATGTACCGACAGGGCAGCAGCTCGATGTAGTGAAATTTTGGTCGGAGCTGTTACGACCCCGCCCCCCCCCCTTTGTTTTCTGGGGGTTGTTCCGCGATACGACCCCCACACCTTTACTTGTTTTGACGTTCATTACTTCCTGAAAGTTCGCATAGTAATTAATTAGATTTATAATAAAATAGAATATAAACAGTCCTGCCTACTAAGTCTGAGTTTGATGTGCAAGCGTATGTGTAATCCAAAAGCTAGGGATTGAGTTACGCATAAAACACAGTATGAAATGGCGATGTTCTAATGAGGACTATGGCTAAAACGCAAAGAACAAAAAGCGCATAACAGAAAAAAGAACAAAAAGGAAGAATGTCGCCTAAAATGGCATTAACACGAGATGTTGAGTACCCCGCGTAGCCAGATAATTGAGTATTGTACATTGCCAGCCGCCGTACTTGGAGATATTCTGTCCAGCTCTTTTAGCACCGGGGAGCGCCGAACTTCTCAGCAAAGTGGGGTGTCTTTTGAAGGACCGAGACAACTTCCTCAAAGCGGATCTGTGCGGGAAGAGGAGACCGTATTCGTGTACGAGAAGGTATTGGCACTTCAAAAATCGATGAAACGTTTTATTGAAGGTCGCCGAAAAAGACAGAGAGAACCTCTGCCATTAACGGATTCGTTGGGGAAGTGATTTCAGCTGATCAGGCTGATTTGAAATCAAATATTATTTTTTTTTTGTAACTCAACATTTCACAAATCTTGAGAAATGGTTTCGAGTGGTGTAAAAATTTTCTCTTTCTAAAAACCTCTTGAGCTGTTTCTGAAGTTCTCGGGATTCATGAGATCTCGCTATATGGGATTCCTTGGGGAACACTCCCGTTGCGCCGGAAAACCCGTTTCCTGTGTACCGTTTCAAAGTGAGCGTGTTCCGAATAGCCAGGAACGCAACGTAGAACGTATCCTGTGGTGGAGCAGGGGCAGGATATGGTTCGTTTAGCGCCGGATCACGCTGACTTTGGATGCGCCGCGCACCGGACGTCCGCGCAGAGGTGAACGGATGGTGCAAATTTTGTGCGTCATTGTCTGTCCACGCGAGCAAATGTGTCTATAGGGTTCAGGAGGTCCCATGGCGAGCCTGTGCACTTGTTTACAGTGTTTCCCTTGCGGTGATGTGGATGATGGAGCGTGTCTGTGTCGACGCCGCCAGATGTGTGCTCCGCCACTTGCTGTTGCTGTCTCCGAATAAAGGAGACCAAACTGCTGAAAAACGTCTGGTGCGGGAACGATATGGTAGTCCTGTCGTTTGTTGAAAAAAGAGGTTGGCTCAGCGCCAAGCGTAATCGCGGACACGCCCCTCCATCCGCAACGAACCAGAGTATGAGTTGTACTGTTCAGTCATCAACGGACTTACGAGATAATGTCGACTTATTATAATAATAATTTCAGTTTTTCGGATTATTTGATAGTTGAAATTTTTCTACTATTTCTTTTACATATCCGAGTTCTCTAACAGAGCGAGTTCGCTACTCTGGACTCAGCACACTGAGACCTTTGCGCTGCTCGATACTGCCTACCGCCCTCATTACGACACCCTCTCCTGGCGGCAAATACGACCCCCCTATGGGGATTCCTCAACCAATGATGTGCCCTGATACCGCACAAACGGTTCTGAGTCACCCGCCCACTTTCTCTGCCTCATTGCGAAATATGTTTTGAATTACAACGGCTGCCTAAACGTTAGTAACATTAAAATTTCTCACGTGCAGACCTGGTACTGCAACTTGGTTATTTAGTTATTTATTTATTTATGTATATTATTAATGCCTACAGCGATGCGCCCAGTTTGACAGCACGGTGACAAAGCAGTTGAACAACAACACGAGATAAGAGAGAAAAAACAAAACGAAAAACAAATTAATAAAAGGAAGAAAAAAAATTCACTGAAAACCTCAAGAACTGTAGAGTGAAAGGAAAGCGAGAAATCAAAACAGTGCTGAAACTGTGGAGGTGACCAGAAAGAAAAAGAAAACCTTGTAGAGACAGTCGACTGACTGTCTTGTCTTTACTTCATTTCATTCGAAGTGGTTTTTTTAATCAAATTATTAGTTTGCTAGGGAACACAGAGAGTTGAAGTATAACGAATGGAAATTGTCAAGGTAGTTTCCAAGCTTGCAGTCGCATTATTAAATCCAATACGAGTAGCTCCTCGCGTTTGAAGAGGTGCGGCCTCTGCGTAGCGTCTTTGATCGGTTGTTGTGAAGATCCAATCACAAACGTCATTCCCACCCGTCGTGGCCTCACATTGATCCTATCTACATATTTGTTGTCCTGTTGACTGAAACTGTAATCAGAATGAAAAAAAATGGCGACCTTCGACTGGTACGACCAACAACGTTTCTTATTTTTAGGTGATCTTCATGAATTAGGATCTCGTATTGGAGGTTCGCGTTTGTCCCGTATCACTGGTGGTTTGGGTGTTGAAGACGATGACATTTTGGATGATTTCTATGATACGGGGTGAGTTTCTGCGTCCATAATAGTCAACTGGTCTTGCTTAAGACCAAAGCACGAGTGACAGATTTCGGTTAAGAAGTCTACTTTGCGGCGACAGCAAAAATAGTAGATTATTTCCTAACGTGTTTGCCTCTTCTTGAAGTAGCGCCTCACAAAATATCAATTAGGTCTTTATGCGAATGTGCGTGGCACCACCAGGGTCAAGCATTACGTCGCGGATGTCCGCTCGACCCCCTCCCCCCTCTTAGACAGTGGAATGCGTGGAGGTACCTGCTCTTTTCATCGGGGTATAGTTGTATTAGGTTGTCCGGAAAGTTCTCAGCGTTTTGTGTTACTATTTATTTTTTTGCACATTCATTGCTGATCAAAAACTCATTCTTCATTGCGCCTCAGTAGTACATCCTGAAGAGAATCTTTTGCGCTGTCTGATGGTGTAATTGCGTTTCACCGTTGCTTATAAACCCCCTTTTCCTGAGACTTTTTGAAGCATGTCAAAAGAGCAACTTCGGACGAATTTTTCTTCAACTACAAATTGGGTCTATTCGCAGTCGAGATAGCGCGACAAATTAACCAGGTGTGGGGACCCAATATTGGAGAAAGCACCGTGCGACAATGGTGCGACAAGCGGTCGACCTAAAGCAATACCTGACGAGGATTTGAAGGCGTTTGTGGAAGCTGACCCATCCCAAACATTTCGAGAGATGGTAGGAAAACTAGGCGTTGGCAAATCCACTGTTGCGGATGGTCTGAAACGCATTAGGAAGGTGAAAAACTCGACAAGTGGGTGCCCCACAATATGAGTGACCGGCAGAAATTGGCACGTCTCGATGTTTCTTCTTCACTGCTTTTGCGCAACAGAAACGTCCCGTTTTTGAACCGAATTGTCACCTGTGATGAAAAGTGGATCATGTATGATAACAGGAGACTTTAGGGACAATGGCTGGATGCCAACAAACCTCCGAGGCAATTTCCAAAGCCGAATCCTAACGAAAAAAAGTTTATGGTCACAGTGTGGTGGTCATCGGCTGGTGTGATCCACTCTAACATGTTGTCACCAGGCCAACCATCACAGCAGAGTCCTACTAAGAAGAAGTCGACGAAATGTACCGAAAATTGCGTCAGCTGCAGCCAGCACTTGTCAACAGAAACGGCCCGATTCTTTTGCATGACATTGCCCGCCCACACGTTTCACAAATCACTATCCATAAACTGAACGAATTGTGGGTTGAAGTTCTACCTCACCCTCCATATTCCCCAGACGTTTCACCAACCGACTATCACCTTTCCAATCATTTTCAGAACTTCCTTGCTGGAAAATACTTCATCAATCAGGACCAGGCAAAAAAGCCTTCGTAGGTTTCGTTGATTATCGACCACCCATTTTTTTTTCTTTGATGGGATTTTTCGACAGGGGTCACATTGGCAAAAGTGTGCTGATTCGAACGGTGCTTACTTCGATTGACTCCGATAAGTCTTAAGAAAGTTATGATCGTTCAAAGCGGAACACTCAAAACGCTGAGAACTTCCCGGAGAACCCAATCTTTGCTGTGTTATGCGATTTTAATTGAATAACTATCTGAGGAACATTTGCCAAAACAATCGAACAGAGCAATGAAACTGAAGACAGGTTTCTCAGAAGTATGCAAGTCACGAAGTGGAACTTCGTCAAGTTCTGCCAGTGACATCTTCGAAACGAAACAATCCGAAGCCGAGACGTCGAGCGTACTGCGGCTGCGTCGCGTGCGGAAATTGGAGCGCTGTCGGCTCATTGAATTCGCATAGTATTCTCAAAAGTGTAAAACATCATCAGGCTCTATACGAAATACACTGTAACTTCCACCAAGCTTGCATGACGGCTTCGGACCAGAAAATAACGCGGAGAATGTTTGGCGAACGCGAGTTTTTTACCTTTCAGTAGATATAACTTAGTTGAGACCTAACTCGGAAAGGAAATTCTACACGCTTTTGAAAATTACAAGGTTTTCTCTTATTTACGAGTACAATATCTTTGCTGTGGCTTGACAATAGACAAAATTGGCCCCATGCGTATTTTGCTCGAAAAGTAGGCTTCAGCGGTAGTGTGAGGATCTTCCCTGCTACAAAACCTACATTATCATCTAGAAAGCTCTGTTGGCTTTCATGCACCTTCTCATCATGTGGTAAGAAGGATCTACCGCACAAAGGCACTGATCAGCATCTCCATGGAATGCGCCATGTACTGCACTTCCTTTCCGAACGCATCACCCATCCTGCAAGCTACGTCGCTACTGTGTTCAGTACTGGCTTCTACGAATGCGACCCCCTGCCGTGAGGGGTGGGGAGCGATATGACCCGCCCTGTCGCGGATTTCGCAACGTGTGCTTGGCCCTGCGCGGCGTCGCTGAAAAGCGTTCCTAAACATTACTTGACTATGAGGAAGCCCATCATTAGCCGTTATCTCAAATGGCGCAGTGCAGTAATCTGGACCAGGACCCAACCCCTCTGATAACTAAGGTTACTCACGCTTGCTTTAATGTGTTTCCATGTGTTCTTCAACAGATTATTTTAACGAGAAAATATTGCAGACGATGCAAATGGATCCCGTTGCCAATTCGAAACGCTTTTCAAGAAATGATCGACTTGGAACTGCTTAAAGACTCGGTCATGCTTCTGCTGTGTGTGTCGAATGTGCTTGGAATGTTAGGCTTCTACATTCCGTTCGTATTCTTGAAGGATCTGGCCCATAGCCATGGCATTGAGCCTGTTGACAGCCGTTATCTCGTACCAGTTATCGGTGTCACTAACACAGTTGGTAGGTATTTGTCTGTTTGAGGGTTTGTTTATTTTAAAGTTCGTGAGAGGGAGAGAGCTTTCGAAGCTTCCAGCTTTGATCAAACCCGCTTGGGATGGCGCACACTTTCTAATTCCATTTGAAATAGCAAATATACAGTCTCGTTTGGTGCGAATGATGGGGCGTGTCAGTAAGGCTGGGTTTGGCGCGCCGCCAGCCCCTTCTTCGCCAGTTTTCGAAGCGGCTTGGGGACAATAACTGGAGAAGAACGACTGCTACGAACTATATGATACACTTCTGTAGCTTGCCAAAGGAAAAAAGAAAACGGACTGGCGCCGCGCTAAAATCATCCCTTCTCGAGACGCGCCATCGTTCTTATGGAACACGAATGTACTGCGATTTTGCCTGCACTACCACTTGCGAATTTAGCCGATGTCATTGACAAGTGTGCCGTGGATGAATATCTCTGTCCTCCTCGCCCATACCGCCATAGAATATGCGGAGAACTTTCGGAAATTTCCTAGCTTCCCTTGTTATCATAAGCAATTGTAGGCGAAGGGAGAATTGCTGTTAATGAGGTGTTAACGAGGTGAGGCGAGCAACAAGCAGGTAGCGAGCCATAAGGGTGACCTGAGGCTAAAGAGAGCAAAAGTGATGCCCACCGCGGCAATGGGCGGTAGCGAACCAGCAAAACGAAGAGATACTCGGGAAACAAAGCGGTGAGCGGTGAAAACAATCATAGAGTCATGATCCAAACGATAGGGCGTGTGAGCGGCGCGGATTGCAGCGCAGCCATAGTGCCCTTTTTCCTTATTTCAATGCCCCTGAGCGCGACACAGCTAATTGGAATCCTGGTTTGGCCGCGCTCCGAGCAATGCCCCGGCACATGCTCTGTCGTTTGCAAGGATCATGACTGTACGAGGGGGGGGGGTGTGTTCAAGTTGCTCCCGGTATAGGTAGAAGCAAAAGCAGAAAATTTTAAATAAGATTTATTTTTCAGTGTAGGTCCCTGTACCCTTAACACACCTGTTTGCTAGGGAAATTGAGTTTTCAATATCCTCTTAGAATATTTCTCCTTTTTGTCCTCAAAATGGCGTTAATTGCTGCCTTCATCTCTTCATCGTCGGAATATGCCTTTCCATGGGATCTTTTTTTATTGCGGAACGAGAAGTAATCAATTTTTTTTCATTTTTCTCAATTTTTAATCAGTAATCATTTTCACAACATTGTCGCAACAGTCATTCGGGTATTCTTTCACCAAGGGTCACTAGAATAGCATTAATGATAATTTAATGAAATTTTGTGTTTATACCCTCAGGGTGTGTCTTACCTAGAGAAATGATTTGAATTCCTTCGTCACTGCTAAATCACCCCGATGCCGAGAACAATTTGAATGGCCCCATCCCCATGTAAAAACATGGCAGAGGTGCTGTAATGCGAGGCGGCGCTGCTTATCGTGTGCGCAGTCCAGGGATCGAGTTGCGGCTTTGGTCCCGCCTGAGACACTAGAAACTCCTTCCCTACAAAGTAGATGAATTGGTAATGGGCTTACCTGGAAGGACAAAAATACTTCGTAGTGATTGCGTGAGACACTGAGTATTCGAAAAACTGCTGCAACTCTTAGTGGTCCATGTCGAAGGGTAGCAAGAGGCTTGGTTTCGTATCCCATGCTGACTCTCTTCTCTGCCTGTTTTTTGTCTGGGCACTCGTCCCTCTTGTAGCCATGCCTCTTGCTGCTCTCAGATATGGGCTTTAGAATGTGCCGCCTCACAAAACAGGATCGGTTAGCCGTCGAAACTTTACTACATGTATACAGGGTCATTGGCATCTTAACTGGCTACCATTCCAGGAAGGGTGTTCTTCGGTTGGCTGGCTGATCGAGGATATGTGTCTGCGCTAGCCATCAATAATTTTTCTTTGATAGCATGTGGAGCGCTCACACTTGGAGCTCCTCTTCTTCCGTCTTTTGCTCTGTTAGTGACGTATGCCGCCCTTTTCGGCTTTATCATTTGTAAGTATATGCTTTTTACTCAATAAGTGTCATTATACTTTGTTTAGCTACAGTATTTCAGCCGCTTATGTATGCCTAACATCCATTGTGCTCTCTGACTTGCTTGGCCTCGAGAAACTTACAAACTCCTTCGGTCTCCTTGTCGTTGCAAGAGGGATCGCTTCGCTGGCCGGTTCTCCATTTGCTGGTGAGCTTGACTTGGTAGTTATTCGATCCGTTTATGATGCTGTCTGGGTGACAAAACCTAGTGGAATATGGCGGACGGGGACCGAAGAGGAAATCATAGGCACGGTTAAGTTTTTCTCTGTACGCGGTGAAGGCAGCTGCAAATATGAAGAGACATCTAGGAAGTTCTAAGCACCCGTTCAGTGGCGTGAGGCTCAGAGCCGTCCATTCGACTCATTTTGAGACTTTTTATTACACTCTTTGTTGAAGAAAATGTTTTAGGTCTGGTGTATGACGTCACTCAATCTTATTCGGCAACATTCTTCTTTGCTGGTTTTGTGATTGTCGTGTCTGGAGTAATCTCATGCGCCATTCCATTCGTACACAAGTGGAAGAGGAGTCACGGCGATAATGAAGGTAACATTGTCAAAGTGCTTTTCTAGTGTACATTCTGAATAGTAAAATCAACGTGATTGACCGTGGGTTATGGTCAACTAGCCGAGTGCCTCCCAGTTTGTTCAAGGTCTAGTCAGTGGCGATGAACAAGCCACAAGAGCAGAACTTCATTCGTAGTACGGAGTTCGGCCTCACTTCCCGGCGTGCTGTAAGGGGTAATTATACACTCCCTCACCAGTAACGCGGCCAAGTCACCGCGCCCTGAGTGCATTCCTAAACGGGATTTCAACTTTAGAATTGCTTTCATCAATGTTGTACTGATCCCGCTGATAACCCTATTGAGAAATCCCAAGTCTTTCTTCGTCTTCAGAAATGGATAAGCTCCCAGCTCAAAATAAAGTCCTTCCTGAATGGAAAAGGGGCGTTCCCGAAAAGAAGTTTGCGAGCTTCGAGACCTCAAACGGAAGAGAGGGATTAGGGGAGAATCGGCACGCGAGTGAGCAGCCGTCACCGGGTCGCAACTTCGTTCTTGGCACCGTCCCCTTTCTGCGCCGCTATATGTTTGTGCTGTTCAAAAAAATAAGCAACGAGTAGAACCGAAAAGCACGTTTGCTGTTCACCTAGACGGTAGCCTATCTGAAAGTTCCTTGTCAAGGCTGGTATGACTTGAGCGCGGAATCCTCCTTCTACTCGAAGTTGTCGGTTTCACCCCGCAGATCCTTCACCTAATAAAACTGTGATCTCCTTCGAGTGCACAAGTTTGGCGCAAGGAGTCTTTTGAATGCAACCCCTCAGATTGACTGCGCCACAGGGCCTGCATTTCAAAGAATAATTGATTAACTCCACAAAAAATCTTGTTATCTGCTTAATTTCACAAAAATTCTTGTTATCTTCTTAATTATTAACCTCAGGTGATGATCCGAAGGACATGGACAATATGTCTGGCAAGCTTTCCGTCTTGACGGAGCGCTCTGAAGAGAATCTGACCGAGTACCAAAGGACTATCCAGAGTCTTCGCCAACAACACGCTTTACTTCAAGGTGAGTTGTATGTATCGTAACAACAACAACAACCACAACAACAAGAGATCTATCTTGGGATCTGCTCCTCGCTGGTTCGCCTGGAAATGCTTGCTCGACTCTAGGAAGGTTGTCTGTTTATATGCACTGACCTTGCCATACGCTCCAGTCAACGTGTAGCAATGCTCCTGAGAGTTCTTCCCCCCACCCTACCCCCCCAACCCAAATCAAGAATCTGAGCGCTTGCTTTTTCTTACATACACCTCGTCTGACTTACGAGGCTCTTCGTGGCATCTTTCCCAGTTGAGACCGTTGCCCTCCCGCATCACTTCGAGGCTATGTATAGCATTTTTTGAACCCCTTCCAGTAATGTATAGATATCTACCCTCGTTGGCTATGCGACTATGCTCTTTCACCAACGTTTTTTGATCTTTCGCACGCGCCGATGAGCGTCTCTTTCCAGCGAATGCTCCTCCGGGGCATTCTCTCTGGGTGCTTTATGCTTCACGTTCAACTCGAGTACCTCCTAAATGTTCGTTGAATACTAACGCCCACGAGTTGTAGTCAGAAAATGTGCCTCTAAGCAATTATCCAGAAGGCCCACCAGACAAACAAATTACTGCTGGAGTATTTACTAGTTGCTTTGAAACACTTTCATATTCGTGGATATTTCCACAGATATTCCAGAAATCGAAGAGGAAAAGCGGCGACTCAAAGAAGTCGAGAAAAAGAACGGCACAGTTGAAGAGGTGAATGAGGAAGACGCCGATGATGAACAACAGAAAAAAGAAAGTAATGGCGTCGATGACGTAGCAAAATGAATGCTTGTTACTTATTCTTTATTATTTTTTCAAGTTATGTAGTTGTATTTAGTAAGGGTACCATATCATCTTCATCACTATCATTACAATTTGTCATCATTATTCTTGTTTTACGTTACTATTAACAAATCACTCAGGCCATGTTTTCACGCTGTACTATTTTCTACTGTTTTCATTTGTAGTTAGACTTTTTGCACGCTGAAGTACGGTTCATATGGCGGCGAACTGGGATATGCCAGGTGGCGTGGATTTTCGCAACGGTGGCTTTATTTTTTAGCGACAGTAGCTAGCCTGGACGGGTAATAATTGGTAAGAAAGATGGCTGCAGCTACGCTCAGTCCCACTCCCCTCTCCCCGGACACGCCTCATCCCTTCGTCGCGATATGGGTCGTGGTTGATAGCGCAAACAATCACTCTGCATCGCTGATCTCTACTCAAGCCCTCAAGAATTTCCATGCATCCGAGAAGAGGGGCAGGCGCAGAGAAACAAGCTCCGCTGCGGTGTAATAGACGCAGAGGGATCGTTTGTGTTCCTAACTTCCTATTCGAAACTAGAACTGTTCTTGTCGCATCATCATTACGGCTAAGCCATGACAGTGCGTAGCGAATAGGTTTGTCACTTAGGGGCAAACATAATTTTTTCTTTTTTTTCGTCCCTCTTATTTCTTGTTACGTGCGATTCTTACAGTTAGTGGTGTGTGAATGTGGGTGTGAAGCGTTTTAGCTCGTTCCTCGTCGATTTCATTTCTATTCTGTCATTTGAAATTTTTGAATTTTTTAATTGCGTCATCACGTCCCTCCCCTTCCCCTCGTCCTCCTATTCTGAATCGTTGAGGAACGCCATCTATCTAAACATTTAGATATTTTACAAGTTTTCCGTCTTAATGTTTCGATCTGATCATATCAGCTGACGTTCTCCAGCACGCATACGCTACGGGTAGGCCACTTTATGACACTCTCACTCGCCTTGCTACTTTATGCTTGTCAGTTAAGTTGTTGTCTAGAAGCTTTCATATTCGATTATTTTCTTTATTAATATTCAACTGATTGATTTATTTATATGTAAGGCCTTTGGCAATGATTATCGCGCTCGCGAGGAAATTATTGCGCTTATTGATCGACGCACTGCGCCAATCAATACGGCGACATCGCGAGCGCGCGTTTCCTTTGAGTGTGTCAGGAAGGCTGTTAACGAATGAACGGCGTAGGCCATGATATCAACATCAAATGTAAGGCATTTCCTGTGAATTGAGTTTTTTACTTTTGCGGCTTTGTAGCCTGTAGATAGTTTAAGTAATATTCTTACTCTTCTTATTAGTATAGGATGCAGTGCCAACTGTTAAGCTATATTGTTCATCTCTATTGTTTCTGATGTTCAACTGCTGTATTGTGTTATTTTTATTATTCTATCCTACTCCATTTTCATACGCCGGTGTTCGTAACTCAGCGATGATCGCTCAGAAGCAAACGAGCTCTTAGCTTATGATGCTTGCTTCTTTTCGGTCCTATTGATTTAGTTGATAACATTCTGTGATAAATGCTGTTATATTGTGTTTGAGGAAGAGGGTTTCAAGATTGTTCTACGCTAGGGAAGTGAGAAGCTGAAAAAAAATGTGGGGCTACATGAACAGAGTAATATATGAGCTACATATAAAGCCAGAAGTTGAGCGATTCTGTCGTGAGCTGACGACCCATGAGACAGCTCGTACGCAAAGGCTGCGGCGTCAAAGGCATGCCCGCCACCGCGGCGACTTACAAGAGGAGTTGGGCGATCCTATGGTGAGCTAGCAGGGGTGCACCGCTCATGTCACGCGCGGTAGTATCAGAGTTGCGCTACCGTATCAGTTCTAGCTATCGTTGCAGCCAGGGATTTGCTCTTGTTCATAGCGTTTTCTTCAGAGTAGCGAAGGATGTGTCTATTTCATAATTTGAACGCAGAGAGAGATACTCGGTTTTACTGAGGATATACGCAAGCAAACGTCAACTCGTCAGAGAGCTGAAGGGGCCTCATTTAAGGCAGTTGACACGATAAATTCCGCAGACGCTAAGATCGATACCCCTGGCAGGATAGAAACCGCGACCCTGTGAGCAGGCGTTGCATAGCGGTCTCCTACGAGGAAGGTTGCCCTTATAAGGGCCCTATCAAGCCACAACTTTACGTCCTAAATGCGCCGCACGCCGCCGCCCACAAATGACGACCGGTTCCTGAAGCTCGTATTCATTCATTTGCTAAACAAATTATTGCGGCGAAGGGAGTGGTATTAAGTGGCGTGATGCTGCATGCATACATCGGGTACAGTCGTGATCCTCAGACTGGCCATACGTAATTGCGTAGCTTCATCTGGGACGCGACGGCGGCTGCGTAGGAGTGGCGATCGATGCTGCGCATGATACCTGATTTGCAGCGATTAATTTTGCGTATTTTGGCCTGTTTTCTGCTAACCAGAAGGAAAAGTGAGTTCATATTATCTGTACTGCTAGATTTGAAGTTTTATTGTATATTTTGCTTTGCAGTCGCTATTTGACCTGCCGTGACGGTGTTCTTACCCACTTTTTGATTTTTGTTTATCGTTTTTTTGTTTGTGCTTTGAATGTTGGACCTGTTCTCATTGGTCTCCATGGCGTGTCGTTATTGTCTCATTACGTACAAAAAAATATAAAGAAAATCAAAAAAGGTGGTTAAGAACACGTCACTGGCAGTCCAACTGGCGACTGAAGGGCAAACTATAGCATAAAACGTCAAATTAGAGTCAATAATATGAACTGCCTTTTCCTTCTAGTTGGGGAGATATAACAGGCAATAGAAAATTAATCGCTGAAATCAGCTGATCTGCAGCAGTGATCGCCACCTCCTACTGCAGCCGCAGTTGCGTCCCGTGGAGTACGCATTAGGCGGAAAAAATGCGCCAGTGCTAAAGGGGAAAAATCACGACTGTACATATTGTAGCCGTATAATCAGTAGCGGTGATTGGCAAGATGCTACGGAAAATCGCCTGAAATCGATTTTTCAAGTCACTGAGAACGGAGGCTTTTTCTTTCGCAGGATTTTGACCGTTTCCATCTGTTCTTTCGCCTTTCCCCACTATACAGCACTCCACTAGCATTTTAGGCTAACCAGGAAAGGTCAAGGTGCCTGGCCATTTCCAATGAGCTGCTACCGTTGTGTACGCGTCTTGGACAGTGAACTCAAATCTACCTTTAGAATTTGCGGAACGACTTTTCTGAACAGAGTTATGGAGGGGCTTCATCCCGCGTGGTTGTCTCACATGCTATCGCGAGGAAACGTGGAAGCGTCTTCATATACAAGAATGGAGTCACATTAAAACGTGGCAGTAGAGCGCAACGGACAGCGAGCGGATTTACTAGGCGAGGTGTCGTAGATCGGTGCTCGGACGGTTGACTGTTTTTTGCATTTTCCAAGAACAGGCCGACAGAGGCTTCTAACATTCTGCTCGCTGCACTATCCTGTAAGGAAATTTCGACAGTGTTTTTTCTCGAAAGACTCATTATGGCCTGAAAGAGTGCTCGTGCTTGTCCCCCCCCTTCGTAGCACATGTCGCAAGGGTTTTTGCAATGAAATACATCATATTCATGTTCAGGCGGTTAATTACCCTGGGGACAAGTTTCAGCCGATTGATTTTTTCGACCTCACTTGGAAAATGTGGGTATTCATATGGCACAGCAGATTGGAGCTTACCATCGATGACTGGTCTCGGAATGGGTTTCCTCGCGAAGTCAAGAAAATGATGCAGACGGCAAATAAGTAAGCCAGGTACTGTTGTTGGCAAAAGACATGACTGAAGAGTATATCAGCTCGAAACCAGTCATCAGGGTATGCTAGACGTAGTATATCTGTTGGCTCTCAGTCAGCTATGACTATCCATACCCCATTTTTTTGAAGTTGGTTTCAGAACCCTCAGATTTCGTTAAGGTGACGTTTATAGGGTTTTTTGGCCCCTTAACACGAATATGATAGCCATTCTGCGCGAAGTGTGGCTGTGAGTCGCGCTACAGGTGCAACGCTTCGGTGGCGCGCCTCGAAAGAAGAAAAACAGATAAAGAAAAACTTTCGCATAATCCGCTTCATAAGAATCGTTCGGCAAATTTTGAA